TTTACTAGGTACAGAGCAATAACACCTGATACATCAAGAATGGCAACGCATGGCGGGTATCATGGGTGAAACAGTATACTCTGTTATGTCCATGGTACTGCTCATGTCTATAGACGACGGTTACCACTTTCCATCTTTCCATCAGGTGTCGTATAAAAAAAAAAGAAAATAACCCATTCATTCATTCAAAATAACCCATATTGCCGTCGGTATATAGTATAATGGTTGAACACTCCGTCTCTGTACCATGGACATAGGTACAGAATGGACAAATGCAAGTGGTGCTAATGCCTTGGGGATTCCATACCTTTAATTTGTTGTAAAGTAAATGCAAATTAATTTAGTGAATTCAAAGACGTCTCTGGGACAACATGGCAATTTATTTTATGTTTAAAACCTTGGAATCTGCCTTTTATTCCTTAATATATTTTTTTATACAACTTGAGAACTCAGGTGTTATTCGCCTAATGACATGTAGCCCTGGTAAAATTCATGTGTTGCCATATCCTATCCTTCAAACCCATAAACGAAACAGCCATGCAAACACAACTGCTTCACGGTAAAAACACGAAACTAACTAACGATTGAGGCAGTTGCTTTTTTTCCGTGAAAAAAAATCTGTTATTTTTTTTTGCACTTCATACCTTATTTGTGTCATTTTCATACCAGCGGAACTCTAAAAACAATTATGAATGAGATAAAATTTTAATGAGTCATTAAAACGCGTCATTAAATTGGCTATTAAACCGTGCACCGTCCGTGTAAGCTCACGGCGGCTACTAAACGCTACATAGTTGCTAATATCCAGTTGCTAGTTCATCTATTAGCAATACTGCTATAATAGTTGTATTACAGTAGTTATTAAACGTGTATGGGTGGCACATATACTATTAGAAAAAAGAATAATTAAAAACAGTCCATACTTTTTTATACTAGCATGGTGGCCTGTCTGTTAGTAAATGGGGTAAATGCATACGTAACAGAAGAGATGTCACACGCGCATTATCGACCCTTAGAAAACCTTACCCCTTAGGGGGTACCGCGTGGAGGTCGACCTGAGAGGGTATATTGCTAGCAATGTGGCTTTTAGACTTCATTACTAACAATCCCTTTTCCCTTTATATATATATAACAACAAGCATACTTAATCCATACCGTTATAAGCTTAAAACCAGGTGTGAAAGGAAGTCATTCGTCACGACAGAGAGATCAGGTGGTCTTGAAAGAAAAAAAAAACATAAAAAATTTGCGGAAATGCAAGTTTTATTACAAAAATTAGAGTTATGCCATTTTGTTTTATAGCGGGACCGCGTTATGAGAGACGGAACCATTATTACTGAATTAGCGCGTTGGTTCACATTAATTGATGTAGTAAGTAGCTATAGCGGTAGGGTCACCACCTTCCACTTCTTGACTTAAGGGTTGCCAGCTCTAAAAATAGTTTTTTTTTTTTTTATACGCAATTTAAATGCGTCGTAAAACAACAACATTGTTTGCAATACACAACATTGTTACAACAATTTATACAGGTTGCAAACGGAATTGTAAACGGTACATACAACCAGAGTAAAACAGAATTTATTCATGCTGTAGAGTCGGGAATTTTTCGTGTATGTATGTTACTTATTATATAAAGTATAAACAAATATATTTGATAATTTTCCCGCGAAGTTCCTTACGGGATAGGTAGAGAGAATCGAGTGCCAAAGATCCAGTTCATACATGTCATCACATTTTGTCATGTCATCTTTTTGTAATATGGATAAAAGACATATTACGCCGACCACAAATAAATTGGGATAAGGGTAGAGAGACGATGATGACACATTTCTTGCTTCCTGCATTTTCATACACGCAAGCTACTTCCGGATTCCACTCTTGACTCCTCTTGACCAGTAAGGTTAGTCTAAATCTTCCCCGGTGCCTGCAGCCATACACATTTCCATTTAGTATTATAACTTTCCACCAGGCATTCTTTCAACATGCCAGAACTACTGTAGCATACCCTTTCGCATTTTATACAAATATTCTTGTATAATAAACAAATACATTATTTAGGGGGGAAAGGGATTGTTAGTAATGGATACTGAGAATCACATTGCTAGCAATATACCCAACCAGGTCGACCTCCTCGCGATTCCCCCTGAAAACTATCATGGTTAATTCTTGATAAATTCATCATGATGGGCTAACTGGTCTGTTTTCATTCTCATCTATCACCCTTCACTGGTGCTCCGCCAGTGTATCCCGTTAGCGCAGGCGGGGTTACCATACCATTTTCACCAATAAAAAAAAATACATTATTTAAGTCATATACATATATATAACTGTCTCACTCCGACATAAAATCATCCCGGTCATTCGTCATGGTAAACGCGCATTGCACTGCCAAAGTAATAAACTGATGACGTGTCCATCACCAGGTTATGGACCTATGCAATTTGAGTTTACAACTGGCTTTAAACCTACTTAAAGATTATTAGTTCATTACAGTTAAGTTTATTTCCTTGATTTAAAAAAAAGATTTAATTAAAAATTTAAATAAGTGAATGTAACTGAAAATATATCAGATTAAAAAGTTGTGAATACATACGGGACCGTTAAAATGACTTTTAAATTTATTTTTAACAATTGTATATGTATTTAACTGTAATACAGGTATTCTTATACCTATCTCAGGCACCAGTCTCTCACAATTATATTTATAATTTGATTACTTTAATATAAACATGTCTTATTTTTTTTTCGATGGGTGAAAATGGTATGGTAACCCCGCCTGCGCTAACGGGATACGCTGGCGGAGCACCAGTGAAGGGTGATAGATGAGAATGAAAACAGGCCAGTTAGCCCATCATGATGAATTCATCAGGAATTAACCATGATAGTTTCAAGGGGGAACCGCGAGGAGGTCGTCCTGGTTGGGTATATTGCTAGCAATGGGACTCTCAGTCTCCATTACTAACAATCCCTTTCCCCCAAAACATGTCTTATTGCATTTCACTGTGATGAATTGTGAAGAGAAAATAAATCTATTTATTATTTATTTATTTTATTTTTCTTTTCCCAAATGACAAATCCAAACTGGGACAGAATTATATAATATTGTTGTTGTTGAACATAGCCTCCTCCTCCACAATGGGAGGTTTTGCCAGTAGTTGCCACGTTTGGCAGGCGGATTGGCAACCACAGTTTGGCTTTTGGTGATGTTTTAAGAGGGACGCTGCTGTCCATCCCTCTCCCTCCTTTAATCGCCTATTCCGACACCCACGGGAAAGGAATAGGTGGCCCATTCTATGCCGGGACCGCACGGTGATTTTTAGCACATATTTCTATCAATTTGGAATATATACAACAAATACAAGAAATTTACAATATGTGTACATTGGACTCAAGTATCTAGTGTCAACATTTATCATTACTAGTTTACGTCAAGGTAGTGTAATAAAAAATGAAAACCTGGATCACCTTGCCTAGGCAAGCACGCGAACAATTTGCATGTACAGTGTGCGAGGGAGACAGCGGTGTGCAAGTGAGATGCACAGCCGGTGTCGACGCCGTCGCCAGAGGGCGGCACGAGGCGGCACGCCCATTCGAATCATATTGATTTTGAATGTAACAACACCTAAAATTTATTCATAATTTCTTTATGGCCATTCGTCTTTTCTAGAATGTTTTACACTAATTATAAATGCCCACTTTGAATATCTATATTTGAATTTTGTTTAACTTCGTGATATGTATCTATTATATAATGGTTGTTAGTATATCTAGTTAACTATTTCTATAAATAGTCATTTTTTTTTGATGGACGAAAATGGTACGGTAACCCCGCCTGCGTTAACGGGACACGCTGGCGGAGCACCAGTGAAGGGTGATAGATGAGAATGAAAACAGGCCAGTTAGCCCGTCATGATGAATTCATCTGGAATTAAACATGATAGTTTCCAGGGGGAACCGCGAGGAGGTCGTCCTGGTTGGATATATTGCTAGCAATGGGATTCTCAGTCTCCATTATTAACAATCCCTTTCCCCCCAAATAGACATTTAAATACATACAAATTTCCCATATACTAACTAGTACGCGTTTTATAAATAAAGGGAAAGATTTTTTATTTGTTATCAATTAGGTTAAGATAAACTCAAAAACTACTTAACGGATTAAAAAAAATTTTTCGGCTTTAGAAAGAAACATTTTCAGCGAGTGACATAGTCTGTATTTTATTAAAAAAAAAATCGAAACCGTGTAGTGTCGCTAGTAAATTGACATATTTAATTATTTAACGGAGAAATTCACAAAAAGGTCAATATTTCATTATTCGAATGCTATGTAAAATCATAGATATCATAACATTATAGATATAGGTATAGTATAAATGCTGAGGGATGACAGGTGAGGAGATTATATAGTGATGAATGAGCGACGGTTTCAGAGAGAACCCGTGGAGGTCAGAAGGACAATGGATCAATTTAACTTTTTATTAGGTATAGTATAAATGCTAAGATTATACAGATGGAGCGTCGAGTCTAATAAACGGGTTAACTTTTTGTTACGGTATAACATAGGGGAGGCCTAAAAGGAGAATTTTGCCAACAGTTGTCACGCTCGGCAGGAGGTTTAGCAACCACAGTTAGACTGTGGCGATGTTTTAAGAACGCTGCTGCCCACCATTACGTTCTCTTAGTCTCTAACGACACCTACGGGAAAGGAAGGGGTGGCCTATTCCATGCCAGGACGACATAGCATAATTTTAGACGGTCTTATTGCTGAGAGCAATCTCTTCAAGACAACGTTAGGGGTAACGGACTATTTGTTATATAAGTAGGTATGATAATATAGTATAATTAAGCAGTCTTAATAGTTATTTTTCGTTTCAACTCTCAAGGAAAAAGAACTCGTTTCTATCTATCTGTGTTGACGAAGATTAATTGTTTTATTTATTAAGCAGTTGATTTTCAATGTAGAAGCGAAATGCTTATATAACTCCGTCATTGGTCAACAGAGAAGCTGCGGTTGTCGCTGTGCGTGGGCTGCGGCGGCCAGATCCACGACCAGTACATCCTCAGGGTGGCGCCGGACCTGGAGTGGCACGCCGCCTGCCTCAAGTGCCAGGAGTGCCGCCAGTTCCTCGACGAGTCGTGCACGTGTTTCGTGAGGGACGGCAAGACGTATTGCAAGAGGGATTACACTAGGTAAGCGATATTGTCATTTGTCCGCATTTTTTGTCATATAATATCTCTCATATATAACATATGATCCCAGGCTTACAAGCGGTATCGAACCCTTAAGTCTTAGGAGAGATTTTGCCTCACTCTGTGTGTTCTACCGCCTGTACAATGGATTGTGCTCAGAGGAAACATTCAATATGATGCCCACAGCCACTTTCTACCATCGTACGGCTCGCCATCGACAGGGAGTTCATCCTCATGTCCTACAGCCTCAATGGTCGCGTACTGCGCTTCTTCTTCTTCTTTGAAGTCTGTTGAAAAATACTTCGTCAAATAGGTAGCTAGTTTTATAACTAATCTATGTTAATTTTACTGAATTAGACGTTATATGGCGGGAGTCCATATCACAGGTTAATTCACTAGAATTTAATATAATAACAGAATTAATCAACACGACTTTAAGTTGATTTTAACTTACTTACAACTTAATATATTTGTTCTATTTAAAATGTATGCGTCCTCTGGTGGTTTGTGGAATCTACAGTTAAGTTAATTAAAACGCAAATGCAGAAACGGACGAGTGGTAATCTAAAGTAGGGGTTGTTGAACTTTTAACAAAACGGAACGATCAACAAATACCTTTCATTTCATGGAACCCCATATCGAATGATTACAAATCAAAAACACTGTAATTTATAGAAGAACAAAAGCTTTTATTGGAAATATTTTAAAAGTAAAGCGCTTTCTAGTTTCTTTTAACTTTTAATGTGAAGAATGAAATTGTTTCGCTGTATAAATAATTTCGGGGAACCCTGGTAACTTTTTTACGGAACCCCTAGGTTCTACGGAACTAACTTTAGGAATCGCTGATCTAAAGAAATATTCAAACTTACAACTATTAGGGATTTTTTTTTAATATTAAAACTTTTTGCATATGAAAACAAAGGTGAATATTTATTACAATTATTAAAGTAAATCTAAGATAGATAGCAGATTGTTTTGAAAATATAGAAAATGTTCGTCTATTTATAATTATAATTTGTTATATTTTATGTAATTTAATTTGCTTTTAAGCAAAACTATCACTGAGCTGTAGCTTATTTGGGTCTTTTGTTTTATATTGAAAAAAAATGTATATTTTCTGATTGTATAAACTCGTTTGTTAATTTACGTGTGTCATAAATGTCTCAAATAAAGTGTTTATCTATCTATCTATCTAACCTAAGTAATTTAACAGATGTCTATCTAATATTAGATATATTGCTAGCTTGCGGTTTTTATTAAAATTATAAATTATTATTACAATCTCTTAAATATATCAGAGGAATTGGAAATAGGATAGTTTTCTTTGGATGTCATCTATTGTAAGTATACGGAAGTTGTAGCCATACCTACACGAACAGACCATCTATTTTCTTATAAATTATTATTGTAAATAATTAAAAATATTGTCAACATTTTCCCTTTATATGAAAATTGTTATAAAATATCGCAACTATAAAATTAATAAGTCTTCCGCCATTACCAATTATCAGGTTATAGACCCAGCACGTAATGGAAGCATTATGACTGTAGAATTTTCTAGATTTTCATATTGCAATCATATGTAGGTACTTATCAATTGAAAATAGCAAACAGAATATGTTAAATCAAAGATTATTTTTTCAAATAGACACGTGTTACTAATGTAAAATTAACAAACCAGTTTTAATACATAACATTCCCATATTAGCTCAGCAGTTTATAACAAAATCGTATAAGAAATAGAATTCATAACCGATGTCAATCACCATCACGTCGTGGCGCCACTTTTTATACACACAGACCAAAGATGAATTCACTAAAATAACTTGCATCTGTTTACATTTTCACCCTTCTATCTCTCGCGGCCAAAATATAGAATTACGCATCGACAAACACCGGTGTTCCTGTTTAAAAACCGCTAATGTTAAAATAACTTCTATTCTTTCCACATAAACCACAAAATCGAGTGTTCGATCACAGAAATTCATGTTTTCAACAGTAAAAATATTTTTGTCACTACACTCTGATGTGCCGTAGAGAAAACAAACGTAGTTTGACTGAGCATTATGTATTTCGGCGCCAAAACAAACGTCACTGTGACAGCGCGGCGGGCGGCGGCAACTCGATATGTCTATGGTATGTTTGTTCCCGTTTACACCGGTCCGGATAAGCGGGTTTTCGATTACACTTTTTTTTTTGTGTGTAATGTATAATTCAAAATATTCAGTCAATATTGTCAGAGCGGTGTTGTAATGTAAATAAAAAAGCGGCAGGTATGTTAAATTTTGACCGGCACACTGGAACGTACTTGTGAGTTGCAAAAATGACGAGTCATCCCGTGTGTCACTGATTTAGATATTATGTGTGTATATATTACAAGATTACGATGCATATAAGACCTCAATAAGCTCCCACGGATGACTTTTAAAACAGTCATGTCAGTTAAGAGCATAGACAACTTGAGTTTAATGAAAATGCGGCAACGCAACACGCAACGATCTTTTATGTTAACTTTTTTTATTCAATTTCAAAGACAATAGAAAACTTTTTAATATTTATGATTATTTAAAAAGTACTCTGCCTACGAATTAAAAAGTTAATCATGCAATTTTAGATTATAATAGATAGAGCATCGAGTCGTAAAAACGCATTAACTTTTTTTCAAATAATTGTCAAATTTCTGCTTTCATCTTCGGTGTCCCGTCAGCGTATATCAATAACGCCATCCGATACATGGTTATTCTTCACAAAAGGAGACATTTCTTTATATAGATTATTCCGTGGGATTAATCAATCGATACAAAATAATAATCTCTCACGCGTTATAGATAATATTTATAAATATTAACCCTTTGTAAGGGAAGACAGCGGAAACGCGATGTTTGTTTACCGCCCGCCCGCGGCACATCACCGCTATCGAGTGACGAATTCGACATAAACATCCGAAATGCACCTACAAACAGACAAACATACAAATACGTTACTAAACACGTATTGGAATTATTTATTTAGTTTATTTAATTTATATTGTACCACTATACATACCTATTACACATAGATATCAAGATTAAGCACGAGGACATTGTGTAAAGGTCGACCTGATAGGATATACCCTATATTGCTAATAATGGGGCTTTTAGTCCCCATTACGAACTATCCCCCCATCATAATATAATGCTGTCCTAATAATTTGTGCAGAGTTATCTTCTATACTTATAAAAAATCTGTAGAGAGGTCAATTCTGTACATGAAATATATTTCCAAAATAACTATCAGGCGGTGATTAGTGATCGATACTGATGCCAAAAATGCAATCAGTAAAATTTTTGTCTGTCTGTCTGTCTGTATGTTCGTTATAGAAACAAAAACTACTCGACGGATTTTAACGAAACTTGGTACAATTATTCTTCATACTCCTGGGCAGGTTATAGTATACTTTTCATCACGCTACGATCAATAGGAGCAGAGCAGTGAAGGGAAATGTTAAAAATGTCCACCTGTGCGACGCCGGTACAGGCCGCTAGTTATTAAATAAGTTTATAAGTATACATTCCACTCAGTCAACGATACGAGAATCCCAACATGGAATCTCTAGGGGGAAAAGGATTGTTAGCAATGGAGTTTGACAGCCCCATTGCTAGCAATATACCTTATTAGGTCGACCTCCACACGGTTCCCCAGGAAATATATATATATATATATATATATATATATTAAGAAATATATATATATATATATATATATATATATATATATATATATATATATATATATATATGTTTTCACATCATAATTCAAGTTTTTATTTATTTATTTAAATTTCAATGTACAATTATATAAGTGTACATATGGCGGACTTAACACTTAATGGCGTTTTCTACCAGTCGACCAGGAGGCAAGCAGAAAATTAAGTAGGCGGTGCATTTACTACTAAAATATGTATAAATATTGTTACTACATAGATAAAAAGATAGATAGATACTCTTTATTGTTTCCTCCAAAAAATTACAATAGTAAACTTGTTATAAATATAAACAATTACAAGAAATAATCACAGTGAGAAAACAATGGGCGACCATATCGCTAAGAGCGATCTCTTCCAGGCAACCTTTGGATGGAGAGGAGTAATTATAAACAATTTACATATTACATACCTACATACATTCATAAATAAATAAATATTTCTTTTTGCGTAATAAAATGTAAAATTATTGCATATTTACGAATACGTCATTTGTAGATAACGTGTGTACAATATACCTATCTCGTTCCACGTACCATTTGTACAGAAGCTGGTAAGCTGAGCTCCACGGATGGTATCATGTGTCGCTAATTGCCGCGACCGCTCAGCTCGGGGTGGGGAGCCGCCGGTCGGAAACAAAGTCTACGTGATCACATTTTCAGTCCTGCAGCTCTGCTCTTGAATCCCATATTTTAGTATCATTCCAAACTATTGCCAATGACAATTTTATACTGCACTCATGAAATAACAGTTGGGAATTAGGTTATAATTGGGATCGGTTTACAATAGTTTGTATTGGCGGGGAAAGGGATTGTTAGTAATGGATACTGAGAATCCCATTGCTAGCAATATACCCAACCAGGTCGACCTCCTCACAGTCCCTGGAAACTATCATGTTTAATTCCTGATGAATTCATCATGATGGACTAACTGGCCTGTTTTCATTCTCATCTATCACCCTTCACTGGTGCTCCGCCAGCGTATTCCGTTAGCGCAGGCGGGGTTACCATACTATTTTCACTCATAAAAAAAAAGAGTTTGTATTAGCAAGTTACACTAATACGCATCTATCAGAACAATATGGAACCTTTATGTCGCTAGTGTTGCAATTCGAGAGTGCAGTACGTCTCAATCTCAATATCGATTTACAGGAATTTATTTCAAGAGTAACCCCACTGTTATGGCAAAATATATCGTTCTATACAATAGAAAATACTAGTGTTTTTTTTTTTAATAAAATAACCCATTACACGCTGATAATGTATCCTTCAATAGGTAGGAGAAAAAATTTGTAAACTTAAAAGTATTTTTTGAGTTTCTCTTTTATAAATTATTATTTTAGCAGAGGGAAACTTTGTACAAAAGCCATTTGCTTGAGTACCTCTGTCCCATTCGTGTTTCTACCGTGAAGCGGTTGTGTTTGCATGATTGTGTTTCGGTTTGAAGGGTGGGATATGGCGTGAATTTACTGGGTACAGAGGAATAATCTCTTTCTATGATTTTATAAACACATATTTACCATTTTCAACGCATGGGGGGTATCATGGGCGAAATAGTATACTCTGTTATGTCCATGGTACTGCTCATGTCTATAGGCGACGGTTACCACTTTCCATCAGGTGGGCCGCCAGCTTGTTTGCCATTCTAACTTGTATAAAAAAAAAAAAACAAGAAATCAAATCTATCACGCGGATTGGCAATTACAATTAGGCTTTGGAGATGTTTTAAGAAGAACGCTGCTGCCCATCACTCAATCTAAAGTTCCTTTAGGTGCTTATTACAGCACCCACAGGAAAGGAAGGGCCTACTCTATACCGGGACCGACACTATTTCATTATGATCCATTAAAAAAAAAAGATCCCATTATCACCTGTTAAAAAATTTCTATCCATGATCTCGCTAAGTCGAAGACACAAATAATAAATCTATGAAACACTATTGTTCAAAATGAACCTTTGAATGTTTGTAAATTGATAGATGTAGTTTTTTTTATAAAAAAGAAAATTGAAAAACCAAATGAATTATAATAAAATGTATTTTATATCAAGTCAACAGGCGGCATTTTTACTTACAAATACATACATATCTGTCACGCCTGTCTCCCATTAGGGTTGGCAGAAACAATGGAACGCCAAATGCTTCGATTCAAACAAACCTCTTTCGCTTCCTCCACATTCATCAATCTTTTCATACACGCTCGCCAGTTACGGGTACTTTTAATTTGTTATTTAAAATATAATTAATAAATAATAATAATAAACAACAACAAGAACCAGCATATCGTCATAGCCGTAGAATACTGACGGATCTATATACATATGTAATATTTGTCAGGACTGTCAGTATTCTACGACTATGACGATATTTGTATAAACAACTACTGCTCTATCAAATAATACATATTGTATTTACATACGTATGTAGGTATATAAGAAGTACATATAACACATTGACCTGTTTCTAAAACCTTGTAGGTAAAACTTCAATTGGTTGAGTTCCATTTGATCGGTACTGTATCTATGTTCAGGTGGTTACAATCCTATAGCGACGCCGACGGTACGTACGTATATGCGATGCTTTTAGCAAGATTGCCGGGGGGGAGTTTCATTCTGCTAAGTGGCGGTCAATAACCCGAGCCGGGGGTGTTTTTAAATGTACTTAGAGGTTTGGGTTCGAGGGCTTTATAGATTATTTTGGAGGCTTTAAAGTGGGGTGTTATTGTTTACAAAAATAATGATGAATAAAATAATAAATGGCTCCGGACGTTTCGTGTAGAGCCATCTTGTTTTAAAATAAATATAGCTAATGATTTTTTTTTTAATTGATGATAACGGAATGGTAACTCCATCTGCGCTAATGGTATACGCTGGGGGGGCTCCAGTAAGGCATCCCTGATAGGTGAGAATGAAAAGGCAGGTCAGTAAGCCTATCGTGATGAATACACCCGGAATTCAGCACGATAGTTTACAGGGTTGAACTACATGGAGTCGACCTAACAGGGTATATTGCTAGCAATAGGACTAGTAGTCCGCATTATTAACAATCCCTTTCCCCAAACACAACTACAAAAAAAACTATTCATTTTCCAATGGTAGATAATTCTATTATATATAATTAAAATTAAATGAGGAGCAAGTATATTCTTTCAGATAAAAAAAGAATTTTCCAAATCGGTTTACAACTGAGTTATTAAAATTCGAAATTCAAAATTCAAAGTCAAAATTCACAATTCAAAATTGAAAATTGAAAATTGAAAATTAAAAATTGAAAATTGAAAATTGAAAATTGAAAATTGAAAATTGAAAATTGAAAATTGAAAATTGAAAATTCACAATTCACAATTCCAAAGTCAAAATTCAAAATTCAAAATTCAAAATTCAGAATTCAAAATCAAAATTCAAAATTCAAAATTCAAAATTCACAATTCCAAATTCAAAATTCAAAATTTACAATTCCAAATATCTTTATTCATGTAGGTCTATTCTAGACTCTAATGATATGTCAAATCTACCGTCAGTTCGAAATGATTACGAGATGAGAGGAACTGACAAGAGACTCAGCTTGTATTCTTTTCAAATAATTTAATATCTCCTCATATTATGCTGAAAGCCAATGTTCAGCGATGAACAATTAAGGGCTGATGAAAGATTAAAAAAACACACAACCGAATTAGAAGCCTTGAAGTCCTTTTGAAGTTAGTTGATAAATTAATATTCCTTCTTTCATTAATGTAACTGACATTTCACTAGACCTAAATAACTTATGGTATGAAGTCTATGGTGCTATTTATGTCTGTATACAATGACAAATAGATACACACACACACACACTTACTATCAAACAGCACTTCATTTTATAGCATTCGTTCGTTCATTTAAATGTAATCTTTTCAGGATTTGTTTATTTATTTAACCCTTCTTTGCAGGGGGGAAAGGGATTGTTAGCAATGGAGTTTGACAGCCCCATTGCTAGCGATATGCGCTATTAGGTCGACCTCCACGTGGTTTCCCCTGGAAACCATCGTGAACAATTCCTGTTGAATTCGTCACGATGGGCTAACTGACCTGCTTCATCCTCATCTATCATTCTTCACTGGTGCCACGCCGGTGTATACCGATAGCGCGGGTGCGGATACCATTCCATTATCACTCATTAAAAAAAAGCCCCTTCTTTGCATGACTTTTTTTATTTGTAAAATAAATAAAGGTGATATAATTCATTATCAAAATTAAAGGAAAAATGGTTAAGAAAGTAAATTTGACAGCTATGTTTTTTTTTTCTGCAACGGACATTAAAAAGGCATCCAGACACGATCAACTTAAAGTGAACATATTCTTTTATATAATTTCTGGGCGTTCAATGTTATGATGGAAATTTCCACCTTAAACAAGCAAAGAACTTTAAATTTTAACTTTAATGCACAGTAAAATTCTATGTACATATGGCGGACTTAACACCGGACGGTGTTCTCTACCAGACAACTATTGGTCAAACAGAGAAATACGTAGGCGGTGCATTATTGATTATTGCATTATTTAAATAAGTGAGTTGCTTTATTCCATCATAACTGTAAAATCCTGTACAAATTTGGTTGTATAGAGTATCGTTAGAAGTCTAAAGTACATCATCTCGGATGACACTGGCTATTATAGCCTTTTTTAAAATAGTTCTTTTTGGACAGAGCAATCGTGTTTTTTTTTTTTTTATTTGGGGAGCAAAATGTACTTGTTTGCTAATAACCTTTACAGCGCTTTAACATAATTAAACTTAATTAAATTTACTTACTTAAACAACATAACTCTCTTCGTTTTCCTTCGTCATTTTTTTTCTGTTGTAGGTATGTGTGCTGTTAAGTTTGTGTATGTTATGTATATATTTAATTGTGTATATATTATAATATATATGTATATATGTATGTATATATGTTTGTATATGATAATATTTATATAATAGTGCGCCACCTACCCTTTGTCTTTTTCTCAATGTCCTCTACCCAAAGGTTGTGTGGAAGAGATTGCTTAGCGATAAGGCCGCCTTTTGTATCACTTCTCATTAATATTTACTGTATTTGTTATTTCTCTTTTTACTTGGTGCAATAAAGTGTAAATAAATAAAATAATTAAATTTTTAAATGTATTTTATTTTCAATTCAGTTAATTATCATTAAAACATTAAATAATCTTATTTTCTATTGTCGACAGGTTATTCGGTACAAAATGCGACAAGTGCGGCGCGTCGTTCAGCAAGAACGACTTCGTGATGCGCGCCAAAACGAAAATCTACCACATCGACTGTTTCCGGTGCTGCGCGTGCGCAAGACAGCTCATACCCGGTGAGATTTGCCGTGAAAACGGTAACCCTGTCTGCGTTGTCGGTTGGCGGGGTATAAGCTTTTTTTTTAATAGTACGAAAATGAAGTAGCTTTGCCTGCGTTATCGCTATACAACGGCATGGGTTAAGTCTCACTTATTCTCCCTGGAAACCATTTATTTATTTAACTTTTTACTGCACCAAAAACATAAAAATATACATTGACAATTAGAAAATTCAAGTTAAACACAGTAGCGTAGAGTACAGGTTAAAATATACACAAAGGTATAAAAAGCGGTCTTGTCGCTAGAGCAATCTCTTACAGACAACCTTTGGTTAAAAGGAGAACAAAAAAAATATTATTAAATGTACTTAATTAATTTAATACTTGTTAAATTTGTCACGATGGTCCAACTGATCAGCTTTCATTCTCATTTATCATCCTTTACTGGTGCCCCGTCAGTGTACACCGATAGCGCAGGCGGGGTTTTTTTTTAATGGGTGAAGATGGAATGGTAACCCCGCCTGCGCTATCGGTATACGCTGGCGGAGTACCAGTGAAGGGTGACAGGTGAGGATGAAGGCAGGTCAGTTGGCCCATAGTAACCAATTGAACAACAACTAACCACTATGGTTTCCAGGGAAACCGCGTGGAGGTCGACCTCTGATGGGGTGTATTGCTAGCAATGGGGCTGTTAAATCTCGTCACTAACAATCCCTTTCCCCCGTGCAGGCTGGGTTTTTTTTTTTGATGGGTGAAAATGGAATGGTAATCCCGCCTGCGCTAACGGGATACGCTGGCGGAGCACCAGTGAAGGGTGATAGATGAGAATGAAAACAGGCCAGTTAGCCCATCATGATGAATTCATCAGGAATTAACCATGATAGTTTCCAAGGGGAACCGCGACGAGGTCGACCTGGTTGGGTATATTGCTAGCAATGGGATTCTCAGTCTCCATTACTAAGAATCCCTTTCTCACCCCGCGCAGGCTGAGTTACCATTCCATCACGATATAAGGGAGTCTTCCTTACGAATCAACCATAAAAATCACATACGTATACGTATTTAAATCAAAAAATAAATATTAGTAATACTTTATATTATAATATTAATGTAAATTTAAAGAGTTATCTAGACCTCACATTATTACAACCTTGTATATCAACAGACTTCATTCTAGCTTGAACTTATCTTGCCATATGTGTGTTTTTGACGCGATATCATCCGAATTACGTAGCCGAATTCGATCGCCATGATATTATTAGACGTTGATAAATAACTGAATTATTTTCCTGTCCTAAAATAGCATGAGTTATTATTAAAACGGTAGGCGTCGTTAAAATAATTATAAAGTACTAGCGACTTACCGCGGCTTTGTACGGGTAGGGCATACGTTTACATTACCCGGCGACATACCTGTAATATCAGAGTTTATTTTTTTAATGGGCGAAGACGGTATAGTAATACCGCCTGCGCTATCGGTATATGCTGGCAGGATACCAGTAAAGGGTGACATGTGTGTATGAAGCCAGGTCAGTTGGCCCATAGTGACCAATTGAACAAGAATTAACCACAATGATTCGGGAGAAAGGGATTGTTAGTAATGGAGACTGAGAATATCATTGCTAGCAATATACCCAACCACTGGAAAGTATCATGGTTAATTCCTTATGAATTCATCATGATGGGCTAACTGGCCTATTTTCATTCTCATCTATCATCCTTCACCAGTACTCCGCCAGCGTCCCTCTTAAAATGTTTCCAAACCCTAACTGCAGTTGCTAATCCACTTGCAGAGCGTGATAACTTTTTTTTTTATACAACATAGAATGGCAAACAAGCTGACTGCTCACCTGATGGAAAGTGATAACCGTCCCCTATAGACATGAGCAGTACCATGGATATAACAGAGTATACTGTTTCGCTCATAATACTCCCCATGCGTTGCCATTCCTGAGGACTCAGATGTTATTCCTCTGTACCCAGTAAATTCACGCCATATCCAACCCTTCAAACCGAAACACAGCCATGCAAATACAACTGTTTTACGGTAGAAACACGAATGGGACAGAGGTACCTAAGCAATCGACTTTTGTACAAAGTCTCACTCTGGCAAACCGCCCCAAAGGTGAGACTTATGTACAGCAGTGAACAGTTAAGGACTGATATAATGATCCAAGAATTAAACTCACTTTGGTACAGTACCCGAAAAACGGGGGGAAAGGGATTGTAGTAATAGAGACTAAAAATCCCATTGCTAGCAGTATACCTAACCAGGTCGACCTCTCACGCGGTTCCCCCTGGAAACTATCATGGTTAATTCCTGATGAATTCATCATGATGGTCTAACTGGCCTGTTTTCATTCTCATCTATCACCCTTCATTGGTGCTCCGCCAGCGTATCCCGTTAGCGCAGGGGTTACCATACCATTTTCATCCAACAAAAAAAAAAAAGTACCCGAAAATCATAAAGGAAACAGGACCGTCCTTTGACATTCCAAATCGCAAACCTTTGAAATTTCGTTTTAATCAACCAGCTCGCTGATTCCTCCACATCCCGCTGTTTCCGTCCGTACTGACAGCGCCCACCTGCCAGATATTGGTTTTATTAATGCACTCTAAGTTAAAATAATTATCTTTTAAAGCTCCTGTCAATGTACAAGGAAATGATTGTTTACACCCACATATTATAAAGCATACGGGCCCATTACGGTTTTTATTGAAAGAAATATCCGAAAATATCGATTCTAATAAGCTAATAGGTAAATAGGAAGTAAAATTCCGGTGTTTTTTTTTTAAATCATTTATAATAGATGACAATGGAATGGTAACCTCGCCTGCGATATATGTTAACAAGCCACCAGTTAGAGATGATTTTTGAGGATGAAAGCAGAAATTCGAAAAGAATTAACCACGCGTGGAGGTCGACTTGATATTTGTTGATGAGTGAAAATGGAATGGCAGAGGGAGACTTTGTACAAACGTCAACTTGTTTGCCATACTAAGCTGCATTTTTTTTAATTAATCCTTCAGTAACACAACTGTGAAAACCGCATCCAATTTGAAGTAGTAGTTTTTGCCTGATACCGAAATAAGTGGATAAAATTTAGGAAAAATGTTAATCCTTGTCTTATAGTCCTTGATCTAAGTTTTGGAACAAAGAAATATTCTAATATATCTAAGATTAAAAGACTTATTATGATGAATAGACCTGAACGTATCTTACAACGCCATCTAGTATCGAATGTAATGAGGTTACCAGACAATAGTCCTTTACCTTATCGATCTAAATCATCTAAGTATTTTCTATTCTGCATAACATAATGCGATCAATAAAAAATAATCATTAATCAGTCAAAATTATAATTCGATAAATTCTCTTGTCAGGTGACGAGTTCGCGTTAAGAGAAGGTGGCGCTTTGTACTGCAGAGAAGACCACGACGTTTTAGAAAAGGTGAATATGACATTTCTTAATTGCTACTTCTTGCACTCACGAAAGGGGGAGCTTTTGTACAATAGTCGTCGCGTGGTAGCTACCTATTGTGAAGCAGCTGTACTTCCATGGCTGTTTGTCCTCGAATTTTGTTACGGGCGTCTGCTGTACACGTTGTTGGTTCTCTCCTCAAGGCAAACATTGATTATTGGACATCATACAAAGAAAGAGAGACAACCGGAGAGGACTTTAGTAAATTAATGATCGGCCGTCAAGCTGATTGACGCTGCGCACGGCTGATTTTTGCCCCAGCCGTGAAAATGTTGCTAAAATCTATATATTATGAAAACATTATTGTATTTGTGTTATTTTCGAATTCCTTTTCTATTACCTATTCAAGATCTCTAAAGAACTCTCATACGAGGTTTAAAAAATATTAGATTAGCTGTTCGACTTTGATCTGTCCATTATCCATAAAAAAAATTGCACATATGATGGAAAAGTGCTGGTCATATAAACTCGATGGGAAGAGAAGAATTCATACGCCACTTTAATCAAAATAAATACTGGTCTTATTCAATCTATATTAGCTGAAACCAAATCAGAAAATTTTCAACATCTCTGTAAATTGTTGATATCCATTAATTCCTTTCTTTCCGCGTCTAGGGTAAGTAGACAAAACTTTATTTAAGAAATCAGTTCAGGGTACGATAGGACGATATATCTGAAGAAGGCCCTTAAACTTAAAAAAAAAAAAAAAGGTTTTGGAAACTATCTTGTTTTGCAATATACTTTTAATCTTATGCAACATAAATTACCCAATAATAAATCATTTTCATTAAAAGGTACAATGTCATTTGATAAATAAACATTAATCCTTATCAAGCCGATATTAAGTTTGTTGATTAAGCCGAGCTTTGATTACAGAGTGCCAACTCGAGCGGAGGTGGCGCCACCAATGCGGAGAGCAATAATAATACAACGTTAAGCAACAACAATTCTCACCATCCACACGAGCTAGGATCTATGTCGGGTGAGTTTTTCTATGGTCTTTTTATACGATTATTAAAGGTAAGTGTCTAGTAGGGGGGAAAAGGATTGTTAGTAATGGAGACTCAGAATCCCATTGCTAGCAATATACCCAACCAGGTCGACCTTGCGGTTCCCCCTGGAAACTATCATGGTTAATTCCCGATGAATTCAGCATGATGGGCTAACTGGCCTGTTTTCATTCTCATCGATCACCCCTCACCGGTGCCCCGCCAGCGTATCTTGTTAGCGCAGGTGAGGTTACTATTCCATTATCACCCATTAAAAAAAATGGTGTCTAGTAATAATGGTAAAATGCTCTGTGGACAATCAGAATAATATGAGTGTCCTATGTATGTTATTGGTTCTTCTATAGTATTTTAGATTTTGAATCACAGCACCCAGTATTTTCACTCGTAACTCACCTTTTAGATCTAAATACAGCGTGCGAGTAATTTGTCGAATGGTAGAGTTACGCTGAGGTTCAGGTAGCCATTCAGAAGATTTTGTGCAGCCATGTGATGTGATCTAAAAGTACGTATTTCTCAAACCCAAACGTCAGTATCCCTGTAGACTTACAGGGATATATATAGACAAACGTCTGTTTCAGTCGGTCCTTATTGAGTTTACAGATTTATACTGAGTTTAAAAGATACGCTAATACTGAATGCTAAAAATACTGGAACTCAACTGTAAAGAGACAAATCCTCAAAACTCAAAGTACATCTAAATGTTTCTAAAATAAAATTCTAAATTCTTCTAAATGCTCTTTAGGCATTGTAACATATGAGATTGTCTTAATTTTTTTAGTATATACCGTATTATTGTATGTCTAAAAAGAAAGTAAATTGCACTTAATTTATTAGTAAAAGTACCTAATGTAGGTACTTTCCCGAGTATGCGGTGAAAGGTGAGACAATCCGTCAAAGTTTATAAGATCCTTATTTCCTGACAAAACTTACCCGTTTCTCTAATTAATGACTACAAGCGATGGTTCTTGCTTTCTATTTTATTTTATTTTATTTATTAGGCGCACATAACAGAAGTTTACAAATACAAACTTAAATTATAACATGCAAGTACATAATGTATTGGATCAAGTAAACTTGCCACAACATGTGCACACAGCATGATCCAATAATAAATGCGACTGCGACAAAGCCATTCGGTTGCAACTATTAGTGAAAAAAATTAAACATAAAAAGAAACATAAACATAAATAAAGTAAAATAAAAAACAAAACAAAATTATGTCAGAAGTTTCTAAATATTATATTATTTTACACAATTGCCTGCGATAACTTTCTACTAAAATGACTGCCAATTTGTTTGCCGTTTCCGTCGTTATTTTTCCGCCTTAAACCGTTTTAGAATCGGTGTATTATTTTCTCACTCATTCTATCTATTTGAATACATTTCGGAATTCGTCCTTTTTCTATATCATATTTTATTATTTCGTTTATTTCCTTTAAATATCTTTTTATGTGTTTTTCTATATTTACAACCATTATAACATGATCATCATCATGTCAGCTGTCAACCGTCCGCTGATTAACATAAGGCTCCCCTATAGACTATCTTTGCCATTGGGTGTAATATATATATACTGGTATATACCACTAATAAGTAACAATTCATTTCCAGCATTTTTAGTATTTTTTCCTATACATCACATGTCCATGTCAAGACAAACGATTTATTAACGGTACCTACGTAGAATAACAAATAAACTGATACCTCATCTGATGGAATGTGGCAACCATAGCCTATAGGCACAAACAGCACCATGGACATTATAGAATACACTACAATGCCCATGGTACGTCTCATACAATTATTCTTTACGTATTCTTAACTATTATAACTTGTAGAGAGTTTTATTGGAAGTGCTAGAGCTCTGACGTTACTTTCGTCTTTCTCAATGGTGTAAAAACAATTTGAAAGCTTGATCTTCGTACGACGGCGATCCAAAATTATCCGTAAGTACTGTGTAAGGTCACCAGTATCTCACGGTTGACATAAAATCAACTCCCATAATATATTGGTCGAATGTATCACTTGACATCCGTAATTAGGTATCATATCTGTAGTGGTATATCAAGTGGTGATAACGTTTCGCGATCGGGCACTGATTGACCGATATACCCTTTGATGTGAGCCGACAAAGCCGCCGCGCTCTTTGATGTCGCCGCTCGCCGCGCCGAAATATACTCGCTTTCTTTATCAATCTAATTATTATTAATTTGTAATTTAAAATCTCTTTTGTTTTTCAATATATTTTGTTGTTGTTACGATTCGTGGTACACTTTCTTTTTTAATTTGGGAGATTTTTTTTAATAAACCTATCTCTTAACCTACATTATAATTTAACTATTTCACAAAATGATTATTTTATGGACCATATAATAAATTCCCCGTATAGGTCCCAGCATAAAATAGCCCACCTCTGGGAGAAAAGGGATTGTTAGCAATGGAATTTGACAGCCCAATTGCTAGCAAAATACCCTATTAGCTCGACCTGCACGTGGTTCCCCCTAGAAACCATCGTAAACAATTCTTGTTGAATTCGTCACGATGGGCTAACTGACCCGCTTCATCCTTATCTATCATCCTTCACTGGTGCCACGCCCGTGTATACCAATAGCGCTGGCAGGGTTGCCACTCAATTATCACACATTAAAAAAAAAATAGGCCACCCCTTTCTTTCCCGTGGGTGTCGTAAAAGGCAACTAAGGAAGGACGAGGGATGGGCAGCCGCGTCCCTCTTAAAACACTTCCAAAGCCTAACTGCGGTTGTCAAACCTCAACAAGCGTGGCAACAACTGGCAAAACCCCCCAAGGGGAAGGCTTATGTTCAATAGTGGACAGTTAAAGGCTGATATGAGGATCACAATAAGTTCCACTTAAATCTATCAGAACATTAGTCTTTAGAATAAAGATTTTCCTGTGATATTAATATTATACCAGAGGGAGACTTTGTACAAAAGTCGTTTGCTTGGCCACCTCTGTCCCATTCGTGTTTCAACCGTGAAGCAGTTATGTTTGCATGGCTGTGTTTCAGATTGAAGGGTGGGATATGGCAGTGAATTTATAGGGTACAGAGGAATAACACCCGAGTCCTCAGGAATGGCAACGCATGGGGGAATATCACGGGTGAAACGGTATACTCTGTTATGTACATGGTACTGCTCATGTCTATACGCGACGGTTACCATTTTCCATCAGGTGGGCCGTCAGTTTGTTTGCCATTCTAAGTTGCATAAAAAATAATATCGAATCAAAATTTCAGGTTTTCTTTTTACGTGTACAGAAATGACTACCTCCAGCTACTTCCAGCCAGACTGCCCTATTATAATGCATATTTTTTAATTAATTATCACACGATACACACCTACAAATTATGATTACAATATACATGATAACCCCTCGAATAAAGCTAGCTTAATCGTGATTAAGGGCCCCAAATGACCATGCCCGCTTGATCCGTGTTTCACACCTCGCTAAGCTGGCGTATTCCTTTGTAAATATCTAATCGACGTCATGTTTTGTCCGGCGTTTTAGGGTTGACATTGTAATGTGTGTTGAGCGATTAGGTGGGATCGCTTCCTTGATAATTTTATGTAATTTTTTTTTAATTAAGTTTTGTTTTATTATAAACAAAAGATACGCTTGTCGATACCCATCTGTAATTTAAACAATAAAAATAACGACTGTTTAGCGCTGGTCAGCACCGCTACAATCGGTTTATGCATACATTTTACTACAGTAGATTACTAGGTACTGAGTTTCTACAGTACAGTAAAATCTCGATTATCCAAATATTCGATTATCCGGATTAATTCTTCACTAACTACTGATTTTGAAATGGTATTGTGTATTAATTTAGTAAATAAGTTTTGATATAATCCATCATCTTTACAGCTGGTATTTTTTATATCGTATTGTTTAAATGACGTATGTAAAGCCTTTTAATGGAATGGTAACAAAGGAGATTGTTAGATTATGTATTTTGTTTTTGTATTTTTTTTTATTTGTGCTTTTTTTATTTTTATTCTTTTGTCTCTTTTGCTGTGTATTACGTGTATGTTTTTTTTTTTATTGTAATTTGTGTGCTGTAAGTAATGTAAATAAATTGTCTATCTATCTATCTATCTACATAATAAAATTAATATTAAAATTTCATAATGTGTTGTGTTAACTATTCACTTTTATTGTAAGACAATTTATGTAATAGTTTGAAGTCGTCTTAGTGTCTAGAAATGGGGTAATGTGACTATGGAACGAGAAGCCAAAGCCGAAACGTCCATATTTTTTTAAAGCTAGTAGAATAAATGACAGTGTTGCCAGCTGTCATTAGTTCGATGACAATTGAAGGGCTATTGATTATTAAATATTATTGATGTGTTTGCACATAATTGTTTTCGCGTTATTTTGTAGTAGACAAAGTATTGGATTATCGTATTGTTAAAGTATTAAATTTGTAAACAGTATCTACACGTTTTATTTCTGACCTCTTTAAAAATTGTTTGATTTGATTTTAAAATCGATTATCCGGATTTTCGATTATGCGGAGTGCTCGTTTTATATGATTCGGATAATCGTGATTCGGCTGCAATTGAAGTATTCGATAGTTGCATAACTATCGAACACTCCAACTACAGTCGTAATCGTATGACTATGAGTTTTTGTTTACGAAATAATATTCTATCTTACATAAACGAAAATGGGATATAGTAGATATTTATAGTTTACGACAGTCGTATAACTCGAATCGAATACTACAACTACTGTACAAATTTGAGTTTTATTTTGTGCCACGAAGGTGGCAAATAAACATACAACCCGTCTGATGGTAAACGGTAGCTAAAGCTAATGAATATCTGTAACATTAAGGGTATCACGTGCGCGTTGTCGACCCCGAAGAACCCTTAATATACCCTTTTCGAAGAATGCGTTATTGCGTGACACTTATCATGGTAGAAAAAGAAATGGAACAGAGGCATCTGAGATTTTTGTTCAGTCTCCCTCTAATAATGCAGGTAATAATATATTACTTTATTTCAATTCCAGACTCTGGCAGCGAATCGGGGTCGCATAAGAGTGGTCGCGCGCGCACCGCGGCCGCCGCCGACGGGAAACCCACGAGAGTTCGCACCGTGCTCAACGAGAAGCAACTGCACACGCTCAGGTTAGTCAACAACATCAGCACCATTGCCATAATCGATGAAGGCCGAAGGATCAGCAAGATGTAGTGGCAATAACCGGCTCAGTTTGAAAGGTAGGAAATTTTATTTTAAATAAAGGATCAATACGTTTGGAAAACCAAAAACCAAAACCTTGGATAAAATCACAAATAATTGGAATAAGGACAGGTGGTGATAATTTTTCTTTATCCAGGACTCGGGAGAATTACAAGAACAACTAACTACAATTAAACAAACAATCAAGAAACATATTTTTATTGATTATTTCAAGCATTTGACTTACAAATTAAATTAAATAGAAATGTTAACACAAAGAACATTTAAATAAACAAAATATATGGTTAATCCAATATAGATTACGTAGTACATTAACTACGGACCTAGGCAGGGCATAGATAAAGATAGTACCTACGGTTTTTTTTTGATGGGTGAAAATGGTATGGTAACCCCGCCTGCGCTAACGGGATACGCTGGCGGAGCACCAGTGAAGGGTGATAGATGAGAATGAAAACAGGCCAGTTAGCCCATCATGATGAATTCATCAGGAATTAACCATGATAGTTTCCAGGGGGAACCGCGAGGAGGTCGACCTGGTTGGGTATATTGCTAGCAATGGGATTCTCAGTCTCCATTACTAACAATCCCTTTCCCCCCAGTACTTACGGTTTCAAAGACGTTTTCTTTAGTTTTGAGTTCTAGAAAATTCGCGCGAAACCGATGACATTACAAATGTTGCCCTACATATACTTTATTGTAAAATGTAAGGGAAAATGTTATTATGTACAATTCCGTTATAGATACACAAATGTTTTTATGTAATAAAAACAACTTAATGTCATTAAATAAATTATTTTTCCTTCTGTCTTTCATTCTTTCTAACTACAGAAAAGATTTTGATAAAATTTCTATGAAACCAGTTTGGAAGTGTATCCTATATTATAATAAAAAACTCCAAATTGAATTTTGAAGAAACAAAAAAAAAAAAATCAACCGACTTGTGAATCTCCGTTTTATTTTGAAGTCGGTTGAAAAAAATAATAAATTTATATTTTTTATGTATTTATTATTTTATTAACTTAATTATTACCTATTTAACTTAACTTTTTAACATAGAAAAAGAATTGGTATTTATCATTACAAATAAAAATTCCAATGATCAAATCACCCTATTTATTAAATATTTTATTACAGAACATGCTACGCGGCGAACCCACGTCCGGATGCGCTGATGAAGGAGCAGCTCGTAGAGATGACGGGTTTAAGTCCCAGGGTTATCAGGGTCTGGTTTCAGAACAAACGTTGCAAGGACAAGAAGAAAACCATGCAACTCAAAATGCAAATGCAGCAGGAGAAGGTGGTAATTTGAAATTTGGTATATTTTATATATTTATTATTACATTAATAAAGTTCAGTAGATATTATAATAATAATAATAATGAATAAATAACAACAACTGGAAGAGATCTCTTTTATGGGATAAGTCCGCCATTGTACTTATTATTTTCTTAATAGCTCTGTGTCCTATAATTTAAGACTTTACTGTACAAAGTGTTACAAACAAACAAACAAACAAGATTCGTGATATTTTAAATTAAAATATAATAATTATTCGTGTTTCTATAGTCAAGTAACTGGCCTGATTCGCATCGAAGATTTAGCTAATTAGACAGGGAAGTCACTAGATGCAGAAATTGCAATGAGTATGGTCGATATATTTTATAAAATCACCATAACTATGCATTTGCCCCATCAGTACTTATTACTTACCTCTACTAGTGAAATATACATACATACATACATATTTGTCACGCCTGGCTCTCTAGACAAGTGGCAAGCGAACTCGACGATGGAATCGACATCGCTAACGAGTCCGTGAGTTGGAATGAATCATCTGGCATTGCTATCTCATTCTAACTCACGGATTCGCTAGCGATGTCGATTCCATCGACGAATTCGCTTGCCACTTGTCTAGAGGCCCTGATTTCCATTAGAGTAGACAGAAACAATGGAACGCCAAATGCTTTGGTTCAAACAAGCCTCTTTCTCTTATAAGAAATATAATATATGGGTAAAAGAATAAATAAATGCATAGTACTAATTCAGCGTATATTTCGTTATTTAGGTACAAACATTTTCTATGCAAAAAATGCTCTGTTTAACTAGTAAATATGATTATGATTTCATTCTCTATATCAAAGTAGCTAGTAGTAGCCAGTTTATCTTATATTTCTCTTAAAACCTCATCTTGGGAAGTCTTTCAGTCTACAGACGTAAGATTCCTATTGCTCCAAATTTTGTAATTATAGAATTTAGTTTTCCCAAAGAGGGTTGAAGTCAGGCAGGCGGCCGGTCGTAAAACTATAAGCCAAATTTTTTTGTAACATGGATAAAAACATATTACGCCGACCCTAAATAATAACTGGGATAAGGGTAGGAAGATGATGAGTAATTTAACGTTTGCTATTTATTTATATTAATGAATATAATAATAATATCCTCGTTTCGATGGCACCAGGAAGGGCGACGCATGGGCTACATGTCGATGGGCGTGCCGCTGGTGGCGGGGTCGCCGGTGCGGCACGAGCCGGCCGGCTCGCTGGCGCTGGAGGTGACGGCGTACCAGCCGCCGTGGAAGGCGCTCTCCGACTTCGCGCTGCACGCCGACCTCGACAGGGCGCCGCACCACAGCGCCGCCTTCCAGCAGCTCGTCAATCAGGTCCGTGGAATGGACTCTCGTCCAATGAATACACTACACCTCTCCTTTCTTCTTTGGAAACTATTATTTATTGAGGGGAAGGGATTGTTAGTAATATGGGATACCAGTCCCATCGTTAGCAATATATCCTATCGGGGAGAAAGGGATTGTTAGTAATGGAGACTGAGAATCCCATTGCTAGCAATATACCCAACCAGGTCGACCTCAACGCGGTTCCCTCTGGAAACTATCATGGTTAATTCCTGATGAATTCATCATGATGGGCTAACTGGCCTGTTTTCATTCTCATCTATCACCCTTCACTGGTGCTCCGCCAGTGTATCCCGTTAGCGCAGGTGGGGTTACCATATCATTTTCACCCATAAAAAAAATACCCTATCAGGTTGACCTCCATGTGGTCCCCCTGGAAACCATCGTGTTGAATTCCAGATGTATTTATCACTATGGGCTATCTGACTTGCTTTTCATTCTCATCTATCACCTCTCATTGATGCCCCGCCAGCGTATACCTTTAGCCCAGGCAAGGTTACCATACCATTATCATCCATTAAAAAAAAAACTATTATTTATTTATTTTATTTTTTATTAAAAAAAAAGTAAACAGCTAGAAAATTTCATAATAAAAACAACAAAAAGCCAATTACAGATTTTCACAAATAAAAACAAGATTTAACTAATGCACATGACATCGCTAATACTAACAACTAAATTAACAAACTAAAAATATAAAATAAAGCAATAACTAAATTAATCAACTAAATCAAATTTCTGTGTTACCATTTCCAGTGTGAGATATAGCAATCAAATTGTAGGGTACAGGGACGCCTTAGTCCTCAGGATAATCTATAGGCGTTAGCTACCACTTCCGTTAGATGGATTACCAGTTTGTTACCATTCTTAGTTACATAAAATGTATTAAGCTCGCCACTTACAAAATTACAAAATTTTATTGTAATTTTTTTTATACCTCTGTATAAATGAAAGTTTACACTTGTTACAGATGCACGGCTACGACGTCCCCTCGCTACCACCGCCGCGGCCGCCGCACAGCACCGAAGACAACTACGTAACGTATCTAGAGAGTGACGACAGTCTCCCGCCTTCGCCCTAGTGCCGCCTCACGTAATGCTCGCCCCTAGAGCGACACACAAGCGAGAAAACAAATAAACTTTATACCAAAAGGAATTTATTGAAACTGCAGAAAAATAGACATAGTGCGACAACCCTACATTAACTTTATACCAAAATGAATTTATTAAAATTGCAGAAAAATAGACGTAGTGCGACAACCCTACTTAATATAATTGATTACTGCATTACTTAATTTACATTAATGCTATCCACTCTCAATATTATATATTTATTTATTTTAGTAAAAAATGTCCAAAAATATTGCAAAATTGTAAATGTAATTTGTTTCATAAATTATACAAATTTTTCACCTTTATTACATACTGTGAAGATTAAAACTGTACAAGTATCAAAATTGTATAACTTTATATCAAGCAAACGACGCCTTGTTTGCTGCCAACATTACAGAATAATGTACAGACTTTATACAATTATTTATTTTCTCTACATTTTCTAAACTTTTACGTATCCAATTACTTAGTAATTACCACTGACTTATTTATAGATGAATTTCTTAAAACTGAATCCCTATAATAATAAAATTTACATAGTTTCATTTATAAATAAAATAAATAATGGCAATAAAAAATATTAACTTTGAAATTTATAGATAGATACTAACAAACAGAAATATAGATGGATACATTAACATCAAGAAGTAAAATCGAATGGAAATTACTTATTTTTATGTCACAAATAATGAACTTGTGTATGTACTTTTACCGTACTCACTTTTTTATTTTGCCTAATTAGAGTTTAATAAATACAGAAATATATGGCAACACTTGATAAATACTTGTTATTAACCCGTTAATCCTTAAATACCTGAATTTTAAAATTTGTCGATTATAAAAGGCCTACAATCGATTTTATTTTTATTTGGCTGTTTACATTTACCAAACGTTTTTTTTTTTCAAAATAAATATATAAAAATATCGTTTTGCTTTTTATACTACGAGTATTTTTTCCCATTAGTAAACACAGTAAAGGGGTACACTTTTATATTTTTTAATTTGATTAAAAAAATCAGGCTTTTAAGGGTTAAAGAAGATTGCATTTAATTCGATAGTATTTTTTTATGTTTATTACTATCGTTGCCCTTAGGTTATAAACCGATTTGGAAAATTCTTTTTTATCCGAAAGGATATGAATACAAATTGGTCCACTGTTTCACTGTTTTATATATTATTCTTATATATTTATACGTTACATCTCTTGCACACAGTTTTTTAAATTAAAATAACTGACATATGTGTTGTCCTATACAAACAAACATTGCTACATTAGAAACTTTTAAATTAAAATAACTGGTGTTACCATATTTGAAGTCAGTTATTATGTGGAACTCAATCTTAAATTATTTCTATCAAAGAAATATGTACTACACATGTACATATACAGTGAGGTAAAATTAACAATAGTTGTTTTTTTTTTACTTTACACTACAATTTCCATGTCATAAATACTTCTTGATTAAACCGTATATAATTTATATTGTAATACTAAATTGGGAGCGTGCAAATTGTTTTCTCATATGTCTAATACTAAATGTGCAGGTGTGAATCTTGCCAGGTTTTGTTAAGTGCCGTCATTTTTATGTAGGTACATTTTACAAGTTTTTAGCAAAAGTAAATATTATGTTTGCCTCTAATGCGTTGCAATAAAGTATTTAGTAGCTTCAATAACTAATCCAAAATATCTAAATATGCTTTAATATTATGTACATTGATTTGGAAGACTATAATAATATAAATACTAGTCTTTCGATGCCTTTCTCTATCATTAAAACATTTTAGGTAAACAGGTCTCTTCAGGGTGGACGACGCGCGCGTAAATCCCCTGGCATTGTAGGCTACGGTAACCACTCACCATCAGGTGGGCCGTATGCTTGTTTGCCATCTCAGTGGTATAAAAAATCGTTAATCCTAATTCGAATGTGAAGATTTATGACTTGAACAATTACATTATAATTAGATACAGCGATTAGTTTAACAACTTGTTAGCAAGGGAAGCCTTATCTCTAAAAGAGATCTCTTCCAGCCAATCCAGTGTAGTTAATGAGAAAATAATTAATTAATTAACAATGAGTATTCAAAAATATTTATCTTAATTTGCAGCGCGTTAGAAGCGGTGATAATGTTCAACTAATTATGTGATGTTTACCATTATTTTAACTATTATACATTATACTTATTTAGTTTAGACAATTCAGGATAGAATTAACATCCTTTTGTGGAGATCTGTTAGCGTTTATTGTATATAACTATCATGTAAATAAATTGTATAAATTTAAATATAACTATACATATATAGATAATAGTTTATATATAAGTATAATATAATTAAAGTAAGACCATTAATGGTAAAATTTGTGTAAAATATACATAAATATAGTCAGTCGCGTTTCATATTTAATTTACTTACAAACTTTAATGTAAATAAGTTACCTGGACATATGCCTTCGATTGGTTTAGTTTACAAATGTGGTAATTTTATAGAATTATCGAAAGGATTTAGCTTCTTTAGACAAAAAAATACATTTCAATTAGCGATATTACGTATAGTGTGAAGACGAAATTGTATGGATCATGAACGAAAATACTAGAATCGTCGGCGTATTTAAGATTAATTTTCCAAGGGGCCTGGCCTCATAAAAAAGTACATATTTTACTATACTTTTTTTCTATACTCTCAGACATGTTTTTTTGTCGTTTGTATCCTGGGATGGGCACTAAATATCTAACAGACTAGAGTAGGCACGGCTTATCCGGGATTCTCTTAAATACACCATGATTAATTCTTCTAAATAGAGCATCAGGTGTTAAAAAATATACCAAAAGTGGCTAAACAAAGTGAAACTGTTCTTGTATGCTTTATTTTTTCATACTATATATACCAGTTATGAGGAAGTGATAAATTAATTAAAATATTACGCCCTTAAAAAAATGTTATGCCGTTTTTGTTTATGAATTTTTAGAAAAATGCTCAATCTATCGAACACTACTACGAAGATTCATAACAAAAATACAATATAAATACAGGTGACGCTAATAAATCCCTAAGCTTGTAAGATCATGTGTAAATTATCTGTATCCGACGGCTTTGTCTATATGAATTAGAAAAAATACTATCTTCATATTTTAAATGAAGGATATCATACACAAGTGGTAACCTCACTCTTGAAAAAAAAATCCAATAAATCGATATTGAAATTGAGACGTTTCGTGCTCTCAAATTGCAACACTAGCGACAATGGCTTCATATTGTTCTGATAGTTACATATTAGTGTAACTTGCTAATACAAACTATTGTAAACCGATCCCAATTATAAACTAATTCCCAACTGTTATTTCATGAGTGCAGTATAAAATTGACATTGGCAGTAGATTGGATTGATATTAGATAAAAGAGTTTAAACGTGATCATATCAGACACAGCGTGTCTTCATAAACATATTCATACATTTTAGACTTTACTCTCAATATCTCTAATAGAAATGAACTTTGATTGTATGTAAAAAGGAGTGAAAATTGTATGTTACTATACAGATGTGAACTAAGCCTTACTTATTCTATATAAGATGAAATCAAAGTTGTTAGCTGCATTTAAAATTAAAAATTTTAATTTTAGCTATTGCCACCACCAATGTTATATTTGATGTTGTTTGCTTGTGACAAATTATTTTTAAATCTACCCTCCAAAATTTTTGTACAGTTTAAATGACTCTATTTTCGATGTTTATCATTTAAGCCTTTGTAAAATAGGATTACAATATGAATACGATCGAGTAGCGCTTATTTATTGGCAGTACAAAACGTAGTCAAAAATTCTTTGTTTTCCTGGTACATTGCTATATAAAGATGCTATCAATTTCGATTTCACCTGTATAGGCTTTCAATGACAGCGTCGTAAATCTAAAACGTACATTTCAATGTAAAAAGGGTGATGATGATGTATTGTGCTAATATTCGATAGAGATTACCAGATGTTAATTTATTCGGTAGTTAATACTATACACTGTACTTAGATTGTGAGCATAACATTAATAAAAATATTGAGTACTTACACAAGAACTATATTTTTTTATTTATTAACCTATATTATTAAACTTTTAAGGTAATTTTTAACCACCCCTTCCTTCCTTTGGTGATATAATGCATTATTCTTGGTAAGCTCTAGTGAGACATGTTCAAACGCGCTTGCGTGAGATTTATCCATAAAATTTTAAATAATTTTTATTTGATCCTAACCCGACAGATGTTGTTTGGAACCTTATCTAACTAACCAGAGGGAGACTTTGTACAAAAGTCGATTGCTTGGGTACCTCTGTTCCATTCGTGTTTCTACCATAAAGCAGTTGTTTGCATGGCTGTGTTTCGGTTTGAAGGGTAGGATATGGCGTGAATTTACAGGGTACAGAGGAATAACACCTGAGTCCTCAAGAATGGCAACGCATGGCTGGTATCATGGACGAAACAGTATATTCTGTTATGTCCATGGTACTGCTCATGTCTATAGGTGACGGTTACCACTTTCCATCAGGTGGACCGTCAGGTTGTTTGCCATTCTAAGTTGTATAAAAAAAATATCTCTGCGCTACTTATTAGATATTAAAACTATATTTAGATTTTTTTAATAGGTTATAATGAAATAGGCGTCGAACGGTCAACACTAAGCTCCGAGTTCCTCTATTAATTTGCCTGAAGATGATGGTTCAGAGGTGATACACTTGTCGCAATATGTGCGTGAACTGAATAAAAATCGAAGATTGATGATTAATATAGTCAATCTTCATGTTGGCAGACGCACGCATACAGAATTAAACAAGAAAATTGTAATCGAGAAACCGGTAAATTTATATTTTAAACTTAAATCTAACTTAAATTAAATCTTGACTCTTATTAGAAATTTAGTCCCTAGAATAAAGATTTTACTGTGATATCAAAATGAAATTTTAATTTTAAAGATAAGTTTAGAAAAATTAAGCCTCTTAAATTAAATTCTTATTGACTACTTAGTACATTATAAGTCTATGATTAACTACCAGTTCATTTGAATAATAAGGAAATGACGACTATTTCTGGTGGTAAAAAGTTGCTGACCATATTTATTTCTCAATAAAGTTTTTCTGGCTCAGTTTTGGCAGCCCCGTAAAGCGCCTATTTCCGACATCTGCAATGTTGTAGTACTATAATTTTTATATTATACTTATTTAGAATTTCACAATTATCACATTATGTTTCTAAAAATAAATTTCGAATATTACGCCAAAAAAATCCGTGGCTCAGTTATTTAACAAAAGTTTTATAATGGAAATAAAGTTTCATAAATGGCAACATAGTAAAATGATAGCTGTCATCCGTAATTTTTTAATTTAACTGTCAAGTTGTCAACTGTCACTTTAACTGTCATTCCCACATGCATTGCACTTGTCAAAGTTGTTTGTTATCAGTTCTTATCAGTTTCCCTAATTCCTTGCTGATATGTGGATTTAGTTCTGTACCGGAATTAAATTTATTCCGTTATGAATTAAAATTAATTTTAGTATATTTAACATAATAATTATTAATATTATTGTATATTAAAATGTCTAATTTGAAAGAAGCTGAAGTGGAATTACAGGAATTGAAACCAAAAAGGGCTATATCAAAAGTAAGTGATTACTATTCGATATTGGCATGTGATAAGTTACCTACTGATAAGAATTTATAGAGGTAAATTACAAATTCCCCTAGTTGTTTTTGCAAAACGCCTGATTAAATGTAAAATATGTCCCATACTACTTATTTTTTTTAAATAAATAGTAAATAAATCTTATTTAATAACTAGCGACCTATTCCGGTTTTGCGCGGTTTTTTTTTTAAATAAAATACTGCCTATGTTACTTACTGATAATGTAGCTTTCTATAGCTGGAATAATTTTTAAAACTGTTCAGTAATTTTTGATTTATAAATTACAAATAAAAAATAAAAAAAAACAAGTGTTCAATCAGAAAATCCTTAGGGTGTTCCCACTTTGTAATTTGTAAAATTAATAAATATGTTAGCACTCAAACCTTCAAATTCTAAAATAATTAGCACTCTAACTTCAAATTCCTCCTGATGAAGGTGATCCTAAGTGACTGCAGTCCCGAGTCTAATATAAGACTGGACGCATTTTGGGTCCAGACCGTTAATTCCCATTTTCAATTGACTTCAAAAAGAATGAGGTTCTCAATTGGGTATATATATTATATATATTTATGTTTGTAACCCCATAATTCTATCAAGTGTAAACTAATTTAAAAATTCTCTTTTTACCTGAAAGGATATACTTACAGATTGGTCCTATAGAAATTTTATCAAAACGGGTTAGTAGTTTAATTTTTAAATTAATATAACTGTTTTCATTATAATTGAAGTTGGTTATTTTGTGAAACACAATCCTTATTACTAGTAATTTAATTATGAATATAATTATGATATCTGAAATGTGAAGTCCTCAGGAATGGCAATGCATGAGGGATGCAATGCATGGGCGAAAAAGTATACTCTTTTATGTCTATGGTACTGCTCATTTTTATAGGCGATGGTTGCCACTTTCCATCAGGTGGGCCGTCAGCTTGTTTGCATAAAAAAAATTTAAACTAAACAGATTATCCAATGTTAAACATGTCTATTTAATGTCAAATTATATTATTGTTTTAATAATATTTCTATTCTGGTTAGCCGGCTTCAAAAGAATTTGTACCAAAATTATCTATCTCAGCTCTACTCACATTTTTACTTGCAAGGCTGTATTTAAGTTTGAAGGATGAGATATGGCAGTAAACTTACACGGTGTGGTACTATGGACACCATAGTATACTGCAATACTTGTAGTGCTCTATATATGCAACAGTTATAATTATTGAGCTGGTTACTTGTTGGTCATTTAAAGTTGTATAAAAAGCAATGCATAAAGTTGATTAAGACAATTTACAAATGGTAGAAAAAATATTTTTATACTTTATTTTTCATACCTATACTAAGCCACAAAATACAAAATTTAGGTTAAGGTAGTACCATATCAGTAAAAGGGATTGGTGTAGTGTAAGCATGTGTAATATCTTATCAGATTGTATGCCAACAAATTTACTAGTATTTTTTTTTTAATGATATATAGAAATACTAATTTATATCATGGAATTAAAAATGTCTTTATATTAAGTAATATTATTAGTTACATAGACTAAACAACTTTTAACTACATAAATTAAATTCATTAGTAAATTAAATTGTAGCATTATTGTATGTTAGAATTTTTTTGTTAACTCATGAGTCTTTAAAATCTTACCTGTACTTGCTAAGTCTCCATAGATTTAAATTTTTTTCAATACTCTGTGATTTCACGCCACTGCGATCTCGCTGTTTCTCTCGGGTCATCTTGTTGTTTGTCATTTTGTTTCTCTTATCACATCATCGCGTAAATGTCATGCTGTAGTGTAATTTTCAAAGTTTCGCGCCCATTTCCGCGCCATTTTTTTCTCTCCTGTACATTATGTGACATCTTTACTTTGTTATTTTTTCTCTTAATGTTTTTAAACGTTTAGAATTGTCCTTTTATCTAATATTCATCATAACTTCTTATCACATCATTTTGGCATATCTAATTTTTTATATTTTTCCAACTTTTTTTTTTACAATGGTTTTGACACTTAGAAGTACGTTATACTTATTACGAAATCTTTGGTTATACCACAGATATAATAATAGTTATACTAAGTCTATGTTTTGACAAGAGACTAATGTTGCAAAGCGGTCATTTTTTTCTATGATTTAATGAGATATTATCAGCATGTGTAATAAACATCATGACAAACGAAAAACAGTTTCCGTGACTAATTCAGTTATTACACTTTCCGGAACTTGCCGCTGATAAAAAGGCGCCGCTTTAAAACTCAGCACATAATGCCCGGTAGTCAAATTTCCGCCATTTTTCACTTACATCATAAATATAAATGTCAATTAACAAACTGCACTGATAACGAGTCAACACTAAAATTAAGATTAACAATGTTATCAATATGTATAATACGTTAATATTAAAAGTTATTGTGCTTTTTCTAGATGCCGGTAGTGATAATTAAAAAAAAACCCGCTAGTAACATAGACATATTTAAATGTTATATGTAAAAGTTACGAAAATGACGCCTCAAAATCGACCCTATATCTGTGCCTATATAATGATCTCCAGGAAGCTAATAAAATACTGAAGGTTTGTCCGCATAGACGGACACTGCCAAATAAATGTACACGTATATAATAAAACAATTAATAACACAGTAATAAATTGAATTATTATATTTATTGTTTTATTATTGTACAAGCATTGAACTAGCCGTTTGATATTTGTGATTCTGTTTTATCCATTTATTACATCACTGTAAAGCGTAAATACAACAATAAAAGTTAGACTTCCTAAAAATGTGCGTTAAACATGTTTATATTAAAAAACAAGTGATAAATTAAAACAATCACCTGTCCAGGATGTACTGGTTAGAAATAGAGCTGGTGTTTTTCTGTCCGTAGGTATATCACTGATATTTTTTTTTAGGAAAAGTTAAAAATTACTAGTTTTCATTTGCTTTCTCTGTGTTACTTTTTTTTTTATGGATGATAATGGAATGGTTACCCCGCCTGCGCTAACGGTACACGCTGGCGGGGCACCAGTGAGGGATGATATGTGAAAATGAAAAGGCAGGTCAGTTAGCCCATCGTGATGAATAACTCTTGGAATTCAGCACGACAGTTCCCAGGTGGAAATAACGTGGAGGTCGACCTGATAGAGCATATTGCTAGCAATGGGGCTGTCAAACTCCATTGCTAATAATCCGTTCCCCCCGTAAGGGGGGTTTGCTAGTATTTGCCACGCTTGACAGGCGGATTGGCAATCATAGTGTTGTTTAACAGGGACGCCGCAGCCCATCCCTCGGCCTCCCTTAGTTGCCTTTTACGACACCCACGGGAAAGGAAGGGGTGGCCTATTCTATGCCGGGACCATACGGCAAATGAGTCAGTGAACGATGAATGACGGAAATGATGATGACACTCATCTGGCATTTTTATTGTCTATTATATAACGGAAATATATTTAGTTATTGTTGAATAATGACTACCGTGAGTCATACTCTATTGTAATTAATAATGCCAGCTTTACTCATGTTTTAAATTCGAATATGTCGACATGTTAATTTAAGTTAGTTCAAATAAAATAAAGTTGACACTTGCGTGTGTCCGTTGAATTTAAATATATGCACGTAAAATGTACTGTTTCAGTATAGTGTTTACATATATTTATGTAATAATATATACTGGGGCAATCAAAGACATTGGCCGTATATAAAATTAAAAATGTACATACATATATGCTATATGTAATGGTGCACTTAAATTTATTTACAGGGGGGAGAAAGGCATGCCCTAAGAAAGTCGCATATCGTCATAGTCGTAGAATACTGACGGATCTGACAAAGATTACATATATATATCCGTCAGTATTCTACGACTATGACGATATGCACTATCAGGCATACTTTTAGTTAAAAAAAAGGTGATAAACATGTCTTTTCTTTTTATTGAAGTGTTTTAAAAAGTAAAAAAAAAAAAAGAAATTAGTAAGATTGTTAAAATACTTTTTGTTGTTTATTTACTATTCTTTAAGATAACTAAAAAAAAGAGCATATCTTAACTTTTTTTACAAGATTATTTTTTTTCTTTCTGTAGTGAAAGTTTGCTCAATACAATATGTTTTTCATTGAAGACAAAATGAGAAAAAGAATAAATAATAATAATAATAATAAAATGATAATAAGAATTATATATATAATTAAATCAAAGATTTTCCTTTTACCTGTTTGTTAGTCGAAAGTTAAAGTCACGTGTAAACACTAGTATCATAACGTGGGATTAATTGCAATAAACCAGTCGTTATTTATCTCTGATAAACTAACATAAATGAATAAAAGGATTTATTTCTTAGTTTCACTTCTGTGACTACAGAATCAACATGAGAAAAAGTATATTCTGATAGAGAAACGTAAATTTTAATAAAAAAAAAATACAATACATAAATAATAAGATTTAAAAAAAAAAAAAAACAATCTCTAAGTTTATAGTGTTTAATATTTGTGAATTTCTTTTGCCTTTGTTTTTTTTTCTATTTACTAGTGTATTCCATTTTCAAATAATATGGAAGATATAAACGGCAAGAAGCAGGAGAATGGAATGTTTGGATCTAAGGTGAAGTTGGAAATGTTGTAATTATTGTATTATTTTTGTCGTGCTTAAGCATTTTTAAATGTGTGATCATTTGATTTTTTTTTAGTCGTTCACGCTTTAATTCACGTATATATGTATATCACTTTATTTAAATCGAAATTTTAGAAAATATTTAATTAAAAAAAAAAGATACGAGTATTGTGTTTATTGTAAACATTTGTTATTTTAAAATTAATTTGTCAATTTTTACTATTTTTTTTTTGTGGAATTTTTGACATAAACCTTTTACCATAACGTTTGAGCTCACTTAACTATATACAAAAAAAAAAAACATCTTGACCATAACAAAAAAAGAAAATTCATCCGAATAGAAATCCTTACTATATTCACTAATATTAAAAGCATGTAAGTGA